AAATCTTAGTAAAAATACTTCATTGAAAATTTGATTTTCTGTGTGCAAAAGACTTAATGTTTCCTAAAAGTCTACCAAAATTTATGAACATACACATACTGTATAAAAACTAATAAATACTTGTGTGCTATTGCATATGTGGGGTTGGTATTTTACACTGAGCCCACTGCGAAAGAGTTAATGGTATTAAAACCAGCTTCTTTAAAAGATACTTCACAAAACAGGAGATAATTAAAAAACTGTTATTTAACAAATGCAAATCACATAAAAAATAAAAACAGTTTATGGTTTGTCTCAACAAGAAAGCCAGTGCTGCACACATTGTTGCCATTTTGACATTTTTTTTAATCATAAATAAATATAAATGATATTACCAATTATTATATCATATAACTGTGTTTTTAATAATTATTATGGAGTTGTATTACAAATTTTAAAAAATCATAGCTAGTGGCTGCATAAAACTGAAGGATATTATAATACCAAATAGTATAAATCACTCCGTTAAGAAGGTTTGAGTGGGTGAAGAGCAAGGACCAGTTAAACTTTTGCATAATATTAATGAATGTATAATAGCTAAAAAATATGTACAAAAAGTAAGAAATATTTGATTTTTACAAAATAATAGTATTTTTATTATTTGATTTGAAACTTGTAATTCTGAGATTCCAAAAAACAGAGTGGGGAAACTTTGAGGCTATTAGATGTGTATTTACAGTATCTAGTATCTGTTTTTGATTATTTGACTGGTCATTTGACCAATTAGTTAACTGTTTAAATGCTGGAAGACATCTCTAAGTTGCTCTCAAAGCTTCAAACAGTGACAGCTGTGTAGTTGATTTACTATCATAATTAAGGCTCCTTTAATGTGGATAGTCCATAACAATATACCTCATCCAGTGTTTTCAAAACTTTATATTTCACTGGAACTTATACTAAAGAACTTATATAATGAGTTTAATGTCCTAGAAAACACATTTGTCATTGGCACATTGTTGGCTGTGTGAGAAAGACTCAAAGATAAACAATGAGCAGTGTGGTGGATCTGAATAACATATTCACAACCACTTTGCTTCAGCTTAGCACCAGTTCCCTTTTGTGTTCACCATAACTAGAGATGGGTGATTAATTTGATTAACCGATTGCCTACAAGCATTGATTAGACTGATTAATGTCAAATGAAATAGTCAATTAAACAAAACAAGTATTTCCAATTGTTTCAACTCTCCAAGTAAATGAAATATTGCTATTATGATTTCTCATTATTTTCATTTAATTCAAGATTATTCAGCTTAATCTGTTGTCATGACTTACAAAGTTTATTAACTAGTCAAAATTAGTGTTTTTGATTATTACTATTTTAGATGATTTCAACTATCGAAGTAATCTAAATACTAGCTAATACTACCCATCATTACTACATGACTTTGTGGCAGTATACATGCATTCTGCTTGTATACAACTCAAGAATGTGTAGTCAAGTGACTGGTAGTTACATTACTAGCAACATTGTTATCTGTTGTCTGTGTTTTCCTTGTATGCCTAAATGATAGTGTATTTTTAATTTTATATATTGCTTACTTATTACAAGCTTCGAACATAACCAGTGTTACTTAGGGTAATGCTGCTTTAATAAAAAAAAAAAAGCTATAAGAAGCTAATATTATTTCTTCACTAAAAAAAAGCTGATCACTCATTTAACTGTGTTTGTCAAAAATTATTAGACATAGACTAATAACAGTATGTAGTACTCTTAGGTCATCAACGGATTTACAGGAACAAAACTGTTTGGTTATAACTAGCTAAGTAGGAAGCATTGAAAAGGGAAATAAAAGTCTGGCTGTCATCTTAAACACTTAATTATACAGTAAGCTTTAAGTTGTTTGATTTATTGCTTTCAAAGCATGAGTGTGTGTGTTTCTACAGTTTCTTACAATCTGTACTGTAAAACGCGCATATACTAATCATTTTAATGTGTTCTTATAAACTTCTACCTGTGTAAACAATTTCCTCCTTAAAAGCTTATGATGTTTTTATACTTGTAAAGTTGTTGATGAAATTAGAAAACATTTCCAAAATGTCTGTAATTAAAGATTTTTTTCACATTACAGGGATTTTGATATTTATTGTAATATTTCATTTGGTTTACATTATGAATTATTTTAATCTCTGCAAAGATGTCATCTACATGTAATCATTTATATCAATTAATCGAGTTAACTGCCCACCTCTAGTGTCATAGCAAGTTTCCTTGCCAAATAGTAAATATTGTACTCTTTGTTTTTCTTGGACTAGCATTAATTTGTTTTATCTGTATTATATATTATTTATCACATGCTGTGACAAGAATCTTTACTAATTTTATCTCATCAAATTGGAAGAGAATTATTTTTCATGAAGAGTTACTTAATTTAATTTTAATAGTCTTTTGAAAATTTGAAGGGATAAACCCATGGAATAGTATTAATTGTATTTTCAGCTTGTTACAGATTTAATACCACATTGGATATATTTTCATTTACAGTTGTACACAACAGTATCTTAATCCTAAATTATTGTAACGTAACAATAAAGGACAACAATGGACCTTTTGGTTCAACTAGGCTGTCCTATTCACTAAATTAAACTTAACCAAAAAAAAAAAAAGAAATTCCTCAAAACCAGACCTTATCATTCAAATATTTATCAAGTTTCCCTCTGCTGTTCCAGAGGCCAACTACCCTGTTAGAAAAATAAAGCTGTTTCAGCTGAAGATGACTTCTTCTCTGACAAAATGTATATTTGTGTCCCCCAGTCTTACCATTCTAACCATTAAATATGAAAAAAGATGATGCATCAACACTATCAATCCCCTTAACAATCTTAAACACCTCAAACAGATCCCCTCCAACTCTTCTTTTTTGAAAAGAAAAGTTCAGAGGTTTTAACCTATCCTCATATGATAATTTTTCTGTCCCAGGTATTATCCTAGCAGCTCTCCTCTGAAATCTTTCCAACAATTCAGTGTCTTTTCTGAGGTCTAACCAATAACCTGTACAATAACATTATAACCTTTTTAGACTTGTATTCAATATTTCTGTAGAAACAACCTAAAATTTTATTATCCCTGCCACTAGCAATGGCACATTTTTGGATGACTTAAGATACTGATCAGCTGCAACACCAAAATCTTTCTTCCATAATTAAGGGTAATCCCATCAAAATTATACTCATAATTCAAATTGTGATATCTTGCATGCATTACTATACATTTGTTATAATTAAAAGCCCTCTGTCATTTATTTACCCAACTCATCAAATACTCCAAATCCTTTTGTAAGGCAGTAGTATTGTTCCAACAGCCAGCAACACACAGAACTATAATGTCATCAGTTACTTTAATTCATCTATTGACCATTCATTCATCTGTGTCATTTATGAAAGTTCAGAAGAGAAAAGGTCCTAACACTAAGCCCTGAAGTACCCTACTCATGACATTATTCCAATTTGACTGAACTCCATTTGTAACAACCTTCTGCTTTCTTTCATCTAACCAGTTTCCTATCCAATGAGCCAACCTATCCTCCATACCTATATAGAGATAACTTTTTAACAAGCCTTTTATGTGGCTTTTTTGTTTTTTAAAAACATGCTTGGAAAGTTTTCTTCATTACATCTTCATTTTCAAGATGCAGTATTGATCGTTTTGCATTTTTTTTTTAAATTTCATGCATATGTATTGCAGAATTCTATATAAATGTGGCCACTGTTTTTCATATAAACAAATTGAAATGATTTTAATTTTAAATTTTTGTTCCCCATCAAAATTAGAACAGTTTTCCCATTATTTAAAAAAAAAGTTAGTTTTTATTCATCTTTTATAGGCTTTTTACTGCAACATTTATAAATAAAGACTAGTTTAGCTTTCCCTTTCCCTAGTCTCTTTGCAATTAATCAATTAACAAATTCAACTAATTGCTCAGCTTTACGTTTTAACGTAAAGATGTACGTTTTAACCATTTTTACATACCATGGTCATATCTGCTGAAGGCAATGTTACGACTGATACTTTTCACATGAGCCATCCAGATTGCTCATAAATGATGTTAGTCATGTTCATGCAACTTAATAAGCTAATAAGAAAAATACAACCTTTCTTAAGAATTTAATATGAGCTCTTGCAAATATTTTGTGTATATATACATGCTCTTATGTATTATAATTTTTAAATTATTAAAAATTAGTGCATTTAGAACTAAACTGCTAGCTTATTATTTTCATTTTCTGTGTACTATAGTACATATTTTTTTAACTGAAGTGCATTAACAGTGGAGTTGTAAAGCATTGTATTTTGATGACTATAAACATGGCAGTCCAAATGTGTTTGCTGAGGAACTTGTTACAACTCATAAAAAAATCTTGAATTCTTTCATTTTGCTTATCTTGATATTTTTTTTATATTTTTTATAAGTGTGTCAAAAGATCCAGTAGCACTTAGTAAACAACCCTGATTAACTACATATATAATATTTGAGATGTGTAGTTTCTTTATGGACTTGCAAAAGTTTGACAAAATTTATAACTAGGAAGATTTTTTTTCTTTGAGGCTTTTCAAAATCTAGTTATAGTTTATTTCATTCAGGTTCTGAAGCTTCAGCTTTCCTGAATACCATTAAATTAATTTCAAATGTTAGTTAATTAATTAAAGGTGCAAGCAGACCCCTTAACACTTAAATTACAATTATGGAAGGGATGACATTGTACATTAAACCTTTACACCTTACATGCTTGTTGTTAGAACTTGATAGTAGTGGTGTCCTGTGTTTAATTATGTTGACTGAATACATATTTTCAGTTGATCACATTTTGATTCAGACTGTTGTTACATAAAGAACAGTGTTATGTACTTATTACAGAATTGCTTTATTACCTCTAACTTGTTTTAGTTATAAGACAAAAATTACATTCCTCTTATGGTGATAAAATCAGAAACTTGTTAGAGATCTAATGTGTTTATCCAGTTTTAAGGATTCTCACAGATGCCAACTTTATGATGCAGTCATGCTGGAACTTTTGGTGTAGAAGGACTCCAGGATCTGCACTGGAGCCAGCTGCTGCCCTTACCTTAGATACAGGTTGAAGATTGTCAGCCTGAGGATTGAAGAGGAACATGTAACTGATCTGGGAAAAAAGGATTCTTTTATGTTTAGGGTATGAGGGATTTTGTAACACGCCTCAGGGAATATGCAAATTTGCTTCTATTTAAGTGCAAAAAGAATGCTTTTAGCTCCAATAGCAATATAAAAAAGATTTATAAATTAAGATTTGAAACTGATTTTGTTGGAGTTAATTTTTATAATTCTTGTGTTTGTTTTGTAATAGTTAAGTTTTCAAAATAATTCTGATCTTTGATCTGTATTATTGTGAACTTGCATCCAAAGTTTTAAGTTTGGCTAGAAGAGTCAGTTTTGTTAATTGAATATTTAAACGTTATATAATAGGGTGAAATTCGTGCTTGTCTAATGAACTCTAACAAAGGGATTGTGAATGTAAAAACATTCAAGTGTACAATATTGGTAGATTAGATACAATAGAATATTGTACACTGAACAAGAAAAAATATTAGAAATTTGAAGACACTGGTTTGTCATTCTGGCATAAGAAAACATTATGCCTAATATTTTATCTTGAGGCAAAAAATATATATCTTGAAAAACACCAGTTTAATTGGTTAAGTAATTTACATAATGTTATTAATTCTCTTACTATTCTACCTCCTTAGTGTTTATTATCTTATAAATATGCTGTATAAAATGTCAGTTAAATAAAATGTCTTATAAGGTTTAATATGATTGCATATTCCATTCTAGGCATGTTTGTTATGCCATGTATGTAACAGGCATAAGAAGTTAAAGATTTAAAGTATACATATAAAACTGTAATGCAGTTCATAAAAACAGAGTAACAGTCATGATACCATTATGATTTGGCCAAGGTCACAAAGTGAAATTTAAATAGTGAAGCAGTTTAGCACATTCCCTGGGTTGGTGAAATGTTGTTAGTCTTGGTATAAAAGCATTTTAAATTCTTGGTAAGTATGTTATAAAACAGTGTTGAACTTCTAAGGTTTTATCATACATAATTATTTACTGATTTGAACCTTGTCAGATGTTACATTGTTTTCTCATAGAATGTTTGATCCTTTACTTTTTACGTTTACTTTTTTTATCCTTATACTCTAGGATATTTACTTTGATTATTGCTAAGGGATGCTTTAAACTTAATATTGATGGTTCCATTTTTCATTCAACACTTTATTTAATAATTAAAACATAAACAGAAATGTTTAATGAACATGTATAAGACTACTGTGTCCAGTTTGGATAATTGTACTAATTTTATGTTTAAAAGAGAAATATGTTTTAAGACTTGAATAAAACTGAAAGTCATTTCTTGACCATTGATCATTCAATGTCTTAAACCTTATTACAATCAGTGTGTGTGTAATGTAGCACTTGCATTAGTTTTAAAGCTGTTTTTATTTTTTTGTTTATTTTGAAAGTTGTACAGTTTTCTGAATTGGGTGCTTAGTATATACATGTTTGTGTGTATATTTTCTTTTCTTGGGCAAAGATCAATAGTTGTTTCATTGTGGTTCATTACTTAATAGATGTTGCTTTATTACATTATCTACCTAATTCATAGATGAAATAAAATCAGTATTTTAAAGATTTATTCATGAATTTTTTGTTTTAGTAACTTTCAGCATTTGTAAGGGTTTCTAATCTTTTCATCAATCTACAGTTCCATTTTACTTAAAAGTGACAATAAATAAGTATGCATTATGTAGTGCAGACTTTAAAATGAAAGTCATAGATTAGATAGGTCAGCAGGTTCAGTGTTTAACAACTCAAATGGAAAAAGAGTCTCGGAGAACTTCATTAGAACTTTTAAATTCAACAAGTAAACACAGCTGGTTGTAAAGGATGGAAGCTATTTCCTATTAATACGTTATTCAGTATCATCACTTAACTTTCAATATGTTCCTTGTAAGAAAAACATGACCTGAATCACCAGGAATTATATCAAAATTTAGCCAGACTAGGTGATATTCTATACAACTTAACAGACAACTATTCATTAATTTTTTGAATTCTTTATCAGAGATAGGCTTGTGAAGTATGCTTAAATTTGTATAGAGTACATATAAAAAAATATATATTCATCAGGAGTTATTAAGGTTTGGTCTTATTAAAGAATGTAAAGATTATATATTTTGTTTTATGCTTGTGTTTTTGCAAACAGAAAACACTTGTTACTGGTTATCTATATGTGTAAGCATGATGTTATTTTTTTGCTTTCTATCTAGGAAACTGCAAACAAGGATGAAAATTTTATAGAACTAAGTTAAAATAGTAAATTTTTATTCTTTTTATAGTGTCTAATATGAATTGTTTGTTCCTTTCTGTGATGTGGGCAGATATGATGCTCGTGGCTACCTGTATGACTTGAAAAGGTATGAACCCAAACCTGATATAGATCCTCTAGGAGGTTTAACAGAGGCTGAAAAAAGAATAGAAGAAAGATGTGAGGAAGAAAGATATTTAGAATTGTACAAAGATGTTCAGGAAGAGGAAATGTATGAGGGTAGGTGCTTCTGGTGTTTCACATGTAATAACATTTTTTCTTTCATTCGTTTTAACAGAATTTTTATTATTGACAACTTTATATTAATAACATGCTAGTTTTCCAACAGCAAGTTTCTTAAAATCTATAATGTAACATGCTCTAAAACTGTCATTTTATAAGTTGTAAACTGACAACATTTTAATTAGCACTTTAAATAAACATGAATTGGAAGTAAAATAAAACAATTATTTAATTAAAACTAGCATGTTTATTAAGTTATGATAATGGTATAATATTTTTACACTTTTTAAAAAAATTGGTGACCATGTATAAATGAAATGGGCAGACAGTTTTGTAAACTACACAATGTTTCAGGAAAAGTTATCTTCTCATAAGATAGAAAGAGAAAGAAGAGGTCTCATGCAGAGTTCAGAACATCAGATAATTGGGAAAACATTACACTAGTAAACATAAGACCACCATTCATTAATTTCAGATTTTTCTTAGAGACCCAAAAACAAAAAAAATTAATTATACATCTAAGAAAGGTTTTCTAGTAATATTAGCACCTTTGGTGTTTAATGAGAGTTGAGAAAGAATCTGTATGTAAGTCGTAGTGAAAGAAATAATGGTGTGTGCAGCTATTTGTTGTTGACAATTTAGCATTCTGATGTTAGTTCCTGTTGAACTATGTTGATACATGCTAAATAACCATAACCATCTGTTAACAAGATAAAGTATGACATATTTCTGTATCAGTTCCTGTTGAACAGCTCAGAAACATATCAGTGACTATGTTATCTGTCATCAAGGTTAAAAGTGATATAAAATTGTCAATTGCTGTTGAAAAATCTATAGATATGTAAACAGTTTTTTACCAAGCTTAAATATTAGTTCCTGCTGTATAATCTTGAGATTTTAACCAGCTGCTTCCAAGCTAAGCATCAGTTCATTTGAACAAATTTGAGACATATTAAACAGCTGGTACAAAGCCTAAACATCAGTTCTTGTTTAACAAACTTAAGAAGTACAGCCGGTACCACTTCTAAGCATCGGTTCCTGTTGAACAAAAATGACACATATTAAATAGGTGTTACCAAGATTGAATAACAGTTCTTGTTGAACAAGCTTTACATATATTAAACAGCTGTTATGAAGTTTAAACATCAGTTCCTATAAACCAATCTTGAGACATGTTAATGAACAATGTGTAACCATCTGTTAAGTCTGTATCAGGCTTAGCCAAGTTTAAACTAATTATTACGGAAACTATTGTCAGATCACTGTACAGAGTTGAGATACATGTACTCAGAGAATATATTTGGGCTATACTGCTTAGTAGCAAAAATTTTGTTTTCTTAAACAAGATCTGACAGTGTAAATAAGGGATAGCTAAAATAATTAAATTGAGTATAAGGTTGAGTCATCATGAGTACATTACCATAAATGTCTTGCATTTAATGTAAGATGTATACACTTTTACATTTTAATTAAATTGCAGCAATCTGTAATTAAAGAAGTATAACTAGATGAACTATTGTCAAAAAAGTCATGATAATTTCACGTATCATTATGTTTTCATATATTTGTTTGTTGTATTATTTGTAATTTACTACTTGTAGTGCCTTTCAGGTCAGCATATATTGAAGCCATGTGGAAGTGATGCAAAATGTCAAGGCTACCCTTCTCAGACTTAGAAAATTTTGTTAACCATTGCAAAATGTGGTAAAAATCATTTCAGCTTCTTGAAGTTGCTAATTAATTTATATTTACAAGTGTTATGAATGTCTTGAGATCTCTAAGAGAGCTCTGTATGTTATATATATTGACTCGACAAAACATTTATTGTAATGAGTTTCTTTCAACTTGTTATTTTGGTAAAATCATGAAATGTTTAGTCATTTGAGTGTAGCTCTCTTGAGTAAAATTTGACACTTCAATGCAAGATTCTTCATTGTATATAAATCCCATCTTGTAATTTTTTCCTAAATTGCCCCAGAAGTGAGGTTGAACCATGTGCTGTTGTCATTTTTAATCTGTTTCACTTAACAGAGGAAGAAGTGAAACGACTGAGAGCTTCACTGGCATCAGGCAAGGCATACCATGAAATTGGTTTTAACTACGAAAGTCGAGAAGATGATGAAAGCATTGAGTCGGAAGAGAGGAAAGGTACGTCATTAGGCTTTGACTGGTTCAGGTTAATAGGGAATTTTATGCATTAATGAGTGGATGTATCATAGAAATTAAACTGTTGTAGTTATTATACAGATATGTTTATATGTGTGTAAATTTGCATTTGTATATAAAGAAGAAAACAGCCAATGAATATTTGTGGACTCTTTCCTGATTTGAAGTGTTAAACTGTTGAAACTATCAAGAATTATGATAATTTTTTTTATTTAAAGCTTTCTTAAAGTATTGAAAAATCTGATTTATAAGGTTCACTTGCATATTTAGATGATGAAGAAAAATTGTTAAAATCAAAAAGTGGAATTATGAAAATACTGTCAGTAGATACTATAACTTTAGACTTCTATGGAATGAGCTAAGCTGTTACAAAATGCAAAATTATTAAATAGATAACAGGTGAAGGTACTTTAAATTGTCTTTATAAGATGGCATGTAGTGCTTGTAAATGTAATAAATGTAAGTGTAATAAAAAAAGCTGACCATAAATGTAATAAATTATCATGAATTTTATAACATCCACCTGTAAATGACTTGATAGTACCAGAGGATGACTTGACACATCAGTCATGTGGCTTTTTTACATTACTAGTCACATGACATAATTACCATAATGTGACTTATTATATGTTACATGAAAGAGGTTACTCTAACACATGATTGATCCAATCTGAACATACACAGTGTGAGATAGTCAATTTTGTTTTTATTTGGTTATGGTTTTGTTTAGCATTCATTTATTATTCCTTCTATCATTTAGTTTATCTGTGAATTTTTAGTTACATTAAAATGCTAGCTCACATTCTAGATTATCACATATATTTTGAATAAATATGTATGTATTATGAAACTGGCATCAGTTTCCTGTAGTGGTGACATACAGATATCATTAGTGTTGCACAAGAGTATGAAAATTATGTTCACTGATTTGTAATCTCGTGATCTAACAAGTGAATGAAAAACCTACACTGAACTTTAACAAGTTAGTTCACGAAATATAGCTGAAGAGTATTATCACTAAATGTTGTTAGTGATTTTGTAGTTTAAATATATGGAATATTGTTATTTTGAAATTAAGTTTGTTTTCTTTTTTTCCTGATTCATTTATTTATTGATTTATTTATCTACCTCGATTTATATATATTGTTCATTAACATTTGTTTCAAATCCTGGTCAGGCACGTATTTATTTACTGTGTGGTAAGTTATCAACTTTATATTTCAATGTTTTTAAAGTCACACTTTGGATTTCTGTGGCTGTCAAAGTATGATAAATATTTTTTTGTTCAACCCTGGTTGTAGTGGCGAGTTACTTTAGACCATTACAACATCTTTTTCTACTGATATTCTTTCTGAAACAGCACTGCCTTTTCTCTCTATCTCGATCCTGGTTTGCCCTCTAAGCATTGCTAAAAAGTTTTCGCTGCCAATTGGTTTTTCCTTTCATCTCTGTATGTGTTTTGTCAAGTAGTATGCTTTTTTGCATATCATCTTCACTCCCTGGGTCTTTGGACTCACTATTACATGGTTGACTCTCTACTGCTCACCTCTCAAGTTGGAGAAGTCCTTTACTACCCTCATGAAGTATCTTATTCATTTTGTATTCTCTTCAATTCCCATCCCGGTCGGGCCCAGCCTTCTTTCAGCTTCGAGATATGGAGCAGGCAGTCATGAAGGCTTATGGGGATGTGGACTTCCTTGGAAGCTCTCATTCCCTTGGGGTCGGGCAAACATGCATTCCCTTTATTGGATATTTCTTGACCAGTGGATTTTCTCCCCAGTTCCTTGGATCATTTCATCACCCTTCCACATGGAATCAGAGCCAACCTTGCTTGGTGGGTTGGGGGATTTCCTTAATTCCCAAGAAATTTCGGGTCCATGGTTAGTCGAGGAGGCTACTCTCCATATCAACATCCTACAACTTCTGGCAGTTCATTGGGTTCTGTATCATGTCCTTTCACTACTGTGGGGGTGTGTGGTTATGGTTCATTCTGACAATTCCTCTGTCTTTAGCTATATTACCAAGCAAGAAGGAACCAAGTCCAGATCTCTGTTTTCAAACTCTGGATATCCTATACTGGGCTACTGACTACAACATGATGGTTCTGATTTTCTCTTTGATAGTTCTGTAACAAAACAGAATTGAAGGTCATAAAAATTATGGTCTGTTTGAGTAATAACGATTTTATAGAGAGCATTTTACATTTAATTTCCTATATTTTTGAGGGGTGATGGATAAAATAGGGATGATGACATGCTAAGACAAAATTTGTTATGTGTGTTACACATTTGCATCTCTCTCTCTCTCCACAAATTGGGTTCAAGTTGGGTATCCCTTCTTAATAATAGAAGGTGTTTTATATATTTCCTTTAGAATTAAGAACTTAAAACTTGTATACTATTAAAATATGGATTATTAGCTATTCTAATTGGTATAACATAAACAAAAAGTAGTTTAAATAAAATTT